GCAGATGGCCCCTCTTCCATCAAGCTTTCTCTTCGAAAGGTTGCCTCAAAAAGGTCAGAAGAAGCTATTTCCTTCTTCAATGGACATACTGAGGATTCTCCCTCAAGGATTCCATTCTCCTTTGATGTTTTGGCTCTCTTTTGAGGCTTCGCCTCTAATTTCAATCAGACTCTTCTTCTGTCTTCAAACAAGCCTCTTTCTTCCTATAACGAAGAGTTTCCTCCACACGGGCGAGTGGGATCCTCATCTCTTTCAGAAAAATCTTGTTTTTCTTCAAAGGCAAAAAATATTTGATGGAATACACAAGGTTACCCTTTCGTTTCTACACAAACCTATTAAAATCTCAGTGGGAGTTTATTCATTTAAATTCAAATAAATACCACAATTAATATCCTTTATGATCTCTAACTTAACTTTTGTACTTATTTCTTGAAGCAGTTTGAATGACATTAAAAAACAAAGGCTCTGATACAGAATGTGCATGAACTCATTTCCTTAGGACATAGTCATTAAAGCGAATATAAGTGGAAAACCTAGCAGATCTCAACAGACATGATAGGCGAATCAGAATGAACCCATTCCACTGGAGAGCCAAGACACCCTGATGAAAGAGCAGATTTCAATCATCGACATAAATCAGAGACTACTCCCTACAGGAGAAGCACGGAGTGCCCCAGGCAAAGGTCAGCTCAGAATGTTATTGAGAATAGAGAAATCCAATTCCTTGGCGGATGAGTCCCCAAGGATAAAAGGATTCATTCATGAGATAAGCCTCGTTCTTGCCTTAAAGATCTCAAAGAGGTAAAAAGATTTTCATTCTCTCATTCTTTTTGCGAAATTCAATCAAAGAGTCTAGATAATAGGGAAACTAAATGTATACACAAATATGAGCATACAAAATTTTTTACTTTGTAAATTGAACTCATCTGCCAAAGTGGCTAGGTAGAGCTCGCCCGTCAAAGTGACTAAATTGAGCCCACTTGCCGATTTGATTATATTCGTTTCTCTCAAAGGGCCAACGCAACATGCTTGTGCGTGGGTGGGCTAATAAGGACATCTGCCAATCTATTATTAAATACGCCGCCCGATAATTGATACCAAATCATTTCACTTAGGCACCAAGGAAGGGTGTCGTACCAGCAACACCTGACTCCTATATTGCGGTTTTTCATCAAGTCATCGGAGAAGGGCATTGTGCAATATAAGATGTATTTTATTGTTTTTTTTTATTTCCTTTCTCCCTTATGTATAAAAGGGAAGGAAAAGGAGAGGAAGGGAGTTCTAGGTCTCTCTCTATATATATTTTTCTCTCTTTCTCTCTCCTCCCTCCGAAATCTTGTAACTCAGGGAACCTCCAAGGAGCCGCATTCTTCCAGCTTACCGGCGATGAGAATTTAATAAATTTTCTGAAGTTTCTTCTCAATACTCTCATTCTTTTTCTATGATACAAGGTCTTTACTGGGTTGTATGCACTCACAAACTATACGAGCCCATTTTTCGTCTCAAAATGATTCGACACTATCGAAGGCCTGGATAGCTTGGACTAGTTATGTTAATCATATGATGTAAATTTGGCTCTTCAATTGTCTCCATTCAATGACAAACTTGGGGAGTGAATGATAGAGTGGATTTTATCTGAAACTTAGGGAGTGGATTGTGGGGTGGGGAGAAATTTTATAGACTTCATAGATCTAAGAAGATTCATATGCAAAGCTTTCGTACTCTACATAATTGTAAGAGGGATTTTCCCAAACATAGGGTGGGTGATCCTCAATTTTGCCACTTCCTTTAGATATTTTGACAAAGCATGGTGAATTTAACTGCTATTGTCAAAATTCCAATGCCAAAAGCCTAAAATAAACTCGATGCACTTATTACTGGCTCAATTTGCTTGTTAAATCTTTATCAATCCTAAGAAAATAGGATAAATCCTATGTATTGGGTCTATTGTAAATGAATTAAGGTAGTTATACTTTATATGGACCCACACATGGTTTCATGAATTCTTTGACCACCCCCCTTTGATCATAATTCAATAGATCTCTTGTGAAGGTTAGAAATAATTCTTCTTTAATGGAGTTCGTAAAATTCGAGATATAGTCGGGTCATTCAATAATCTTTAGCAGGGCCTTTGACCGTTCTTCCCATTGGAGCCTATCTGGTTTCAATTCTCAATAAGTTCGCTATAATTTTGAGTCCTACTAAATTTTACCTTCCAATTCTCATTGAAGAGTACATTGTTGAAAATTCTAATACGAGGGAGCAATATTGGCATCCTAATAAAATATCAAAATATATTGGAGGGAAACACAATTCCCATCTAGATGTTACATGTATCGTGAATTTGGACATTTGCACCAATTTACTATCTTGGAATAATTTTACTCAAAAATGTTGCCGCAGATACTCCTTTAGTACCTCATCGTGAATTATCATTTAGTAAGGTTCCTTAAAATATTTTTTTATGAACAGACCTAATTTGCTGAACTACTATGTTTAACGTTTGCCATTGTGGATCATGCTGCTTATGTTCAATGATCAGGTTTAGGCATAATGGAAATCAATGGTACATAAATATTACAGCTAGGAAAAGGAAGAGAAGTGATCACCTCAATATTGACTCAAATATTAAGGGACATTTACATTCATACCACCCAATTCTTATGTATTTACATGTCTGACACATAAAATTTAATTTTTACATATATTTCACCTTAACTTATGTATGAAAAGGTGTATTTCACTTAATTGAAGTTAAAATAGTGTTATTTTTTATATGATATGAAAGACTTGTGTTGTATAAATGTAAAAATTAAAATTTAGGTGTTAGATGTGTAAATACATAAGAATTGGGTGGTATGTAAATGTCCCTAAAATTAATGCGATTGATATTTAATATTAAACTACCTTTAACATAGTTGGTTGATCGAACTCTTGCACATTGATAACATTTTTTGGTAGCTCGTAATATAAGCTTGTTTTTATTTTCTTGTGGTTTGTTTGATTGGGGCTTAAGCAATGTGTAAATTAGCTTAAGTACTTAAGCTCAACTAAAAATCTAATATATCGCTTGTTAACTGACAACTTAAACTTATCACCATGTGTAGCTTAGTCTAGTAAGGTCCAACCAAACAGGTTCGCAAAGGGAATGTCTTAACAGTTCCAACAAAAATCATCACTTACTTTTCCCCCAAATTCTGATAACTTCCATATACCCATTTGCTATGTATTTATATTTCTCATAGGTAGGGGTGTAAACCGAGCAAGCCCAGGCTCAACTCGTTAGAAAATATCATTGTTCGTGTTCGACTTGTTTATATTTTGAACATAATAAGTGTGTTCGTGTTTGACTTGTTTGCTTAGCGAGCCGAACACGAGTTGTTTGCGAAAAAACAATCATTTTAACAACCCTAATCGCGCAGTCGTAGGATATTAAGGGTTGGGGCAAGATTTAAATCTTATTTTTTATATTAAAACATCATTTAAATATAGTTTATCATATTTTTATAATAATTTAATATATTTTTATTCTATTTTTTAATTAATAATTTCAATTGTTTATAAATCTTTGTATCCTTAATATATATTGATGAGTAGTATTTTGAGCCAAAACGAGCAAAACACGAACAAACAAATTTTTGTTCGTGTTCGACTCGTTTATATATCAAACACAAAAAAAATGTTCGTGTTCGACTCATTAACTTAGCGAATTAATCGAACACGAGGGTTTACCCTTAACACGAGCTTCTTAACGATCCAAACACAAGCTGTTCGCGAACAACAAGCCATTTTGACAACCCTACTCATAGGTAATGGCATTATTCTGAAGAAAATAATTTGCATGTCATCTGTGTGCTATACAAATAGTCAATCAAACAGATTTGATCGAAATGCAACATAAACTGACAAGCTCAGCCTAGCGGTAATTTAAAGGAAGATTTACATACATATCACTTAATTCCTATGTATTTACATTTCTAAAATTTAGACTTAAATTTTTACATGTATGTCACTTTACCGATGTATGAAAATTTGTATTTCACTTTTTAGAAGTTAAAATAGTGATATTTTTGTTGTGATATTAATGATTTGGGTGGTATAAATGTAAAAATTAGAGTTTAGGTGTTAGATATATAAATACATAGGAATTAATTAGTGGTATATATATAAATGCCCCTAATTTGAAAGTGGGGTTTGTACGAATGCTACTAAGGAAGCTCCTTAGCTAAGAACTTGGAGTCTTAACATGGGTTTGTTTGAATGAGTTACTCTCATGCATTAGAAAATCTAAACCCCACGCATGCGCTTACACACACAGGTATGCTCTTATGCTCATCTATCTTCTATACACGTACACTCGTCTTTATAATAATATGTCGTTATTTTTGAATTTGATAGTGGTAGATGCTTATGAACGGCTAATTTTTCCATTTGTCATTGTCTTTTGGCTTACTTTAATGGCGTCTAGTTTGAATATGTTTTGCTTGGGAATTAGATTACTTGTTCTCTCCTGCAGGCGGCTGTTAAACTGTTTGTAGTTATTGGGTTATTCCTTTTTTTTTCCTGAAATGTAGCTTTTGTTGAAGTGTGCTCATCTGTAGGTTTTGCCAAAAATGCTTCGGTGGGCAGGTTAACATGTTGCATTTAGTAGAAACAATTGGCTCTGATAATAAAGGGTGAGCTTGCTTCCTAGCTGACTAGGCTTTTTCCACATCACATAATTTTTTTTCATGAATTTGCATGAAACCTACTTGTTGAGCTTAAGATTCTATCACTGATTTTCTTTCTTAATTCTAAAGCATTGACGGAGGTGGAGAAAGGGGACTGCATATACAATAAAAATAAAATAAACCTAATAAATAAATCATTGAATATTTTCTAATTTGGAAATTATCATATTACAATCAATAAAATATCATTATTGTTGTGTCAATTTAAAGAGTTAAATTAAAAAAAAAAAAAGGATTCATTTATTTGTCAAATAGTTGATGTTAGATTAAGTGTTAAAACATATTAAACTTTAATTCGTTTGTCACAATTTAAAATTTATATTTTGCTTGTTTCTGATTTAGTTGTGCTGGATTTTATTTTATTATTTTTCCACATCTATGGCTTATATTTGGCCACCTACCAATCCATTTGTCCCAATTTAAAAGTTAAATTGTGATTGTTTCTGATTTACTTGGTCTGGATTTGATTTTTAAACATATGCGCCTCACATTTAGAAACCGGTTAAACTTAAATTTGACTTCCCACTTATTGTGTTATATGATCGAAAAATAAGTTTATCAGCAATTTTGTTGAATGCAGGGTGAATTGCGTACATCGATCCTTAATCAAATTTTATGATTAGCGGAAAAAAGCTGAGGTATTTATTTTATAACTACTATATGTAGTCTGAAACACAAGACCTTAAGATTTATCTGAAAAGAAGAGATCTTGTGGCCCTCTCATATATCTGATAACTATTCAGATAGGTGTTTCCATTTGGTACTAAAATAATTGCTTTAAAGTTCTTTGTTGAAGAGGGCCCTAGGCCTTGTTTGGGATAAATTTTGTTTTTTGCTTTGTTATTATTTTTTTTTTATAAATATGTTTGTTTAGTGTGTTTTTATATACTTCTATTTTTTGTTTTTAAAAACAAATTGTTCTGTTTTTTAGAAAACTCAAAACAACTTTTGAGTGTTTTTAAAAATAATCATATCTTAATTATATGTCAAACATATTTTATTTCAGATCAAAATATAAATAAAATAGAAAATAAAAAACAAAAGTGATTCGAAACAGCCCCTTAGAAGGAATTAGTTAATAGCTTATAGTATATGGATCTTTTTAAGTTATCATATTCTTATTCATAACTATTCTTCTAAATATGAGTAAATGATAACTTTTAAGACGAGTACTAAATTAACCGTGCTTTTACATAAAAGTGCTTTGTAAGCACATTGCCTCGAAAAATTCTTAATTTGTGGAGATCAAAAAATTTTAAATTAAAGTAGAGCAGTAAAGAGAATTCATAAAGTAGATAACGTCTGAAAAACTTCATATGGTTTATTGCAATTCGCTTAACTACAAATACAAATCAGTTCCATACAGTATCACCACATATTACATACCTATTCTCTCTTCTTTTTTTGAAGGATATAAAAGTTCAATTTTAAAAAGCATTTTGCTGGGCTAGAAAAAAAGGGGGTTCTAATCAATTTTATTTCATTTTCAGATAACCTTCATTGCTTAAAAGTACAGCCATTTCATCAGTGAGGGCTGCTACTGAATTGATCTCAATATTATACTTTGGGGGTTTTTTGGCTCTATTATTTAGATATTAGAGGTTTAATGATGTCAATGCTATTTGGTATCAGTACTATCTATTAAATACTATGTTGATTCGTTGTTAATATATTTGAGAAGGTAACTACTTTAGGCTTATAAAGAGTGATCTGAGCTGTAGTTTCTGTCAATTTTGATCGTCATCTGGATTTCACTGAATTAGAATATAATTTTCATAAAATTATTGGTTAAAGATGCTATGAAACCACAGAATTGATATTTCTTAATAACATGACATAACATTGACATCTCAATTGGAACATATACGAATTGAGATGAGTATTCAAATCGAGCATAAGAAAAAATATGAATTAATAAAGATGTGATTTCCCTAGTTCATTTAAGTGTAATATTTGGGTGGGTAAGAAATCTACATTCATCTATGATGGATAAGAGTTTTCCTTTTTAATAAAAAACAAGTTCGACCATTCTACAAAAGTAGAATACAAGCCTTTTATATGCTTTTTGGGCAATCTTGAACATAGAAGACAAGAATGAATTCTGTAAAATAATTGGGCATTAAATTAGCCAAACAAAACCACATTTGACTTTTAGAAACCAATTTCTGCAAATCAATTTAATCGACCTGTAGTATATCATCAATATTTTTTTGGTGCATGGTCATAACTATTGTATCTATCTTATTGTCTTTCTCAGGCAAATAAATTGATGTTACATAAATTGTTCACTTCATAGCCTTTCAATCACAAATAAATATCATATATTTAGTTCTTGCTTTAGTTGTTGTGGACTTGGATCTTTGCATCATTCTTGTAGCTTGGAAATATTCTTACTGTCAAATAAATTCACAGAAGCAAAGTCATTGAAGCTATTATGTTTCCCCCGAGTTATCACATAAAGATCATCTCTTACATTCAAAAAGGCATCTAAAAAATCATTTCATGAGTGGACTTAATTTTTATGTGTATCATGCCACTCATGTTACACGACCAGGTATTGGCCAAGTGAACATCGATTGCTGCATAAAGGTGGAGCTAGGATAAAGAAGATAAGTTTTCAACATCAAGTTTGGCTCACCTTAGAAAGTTGAATGTGATTCATTATTTAATATTAAACTGCTTTTGACATCACTTGGTGATCCTACCATAACATTTTTTTTGTTGAGCTCAATAAGATTGTTTTTGTTGGCATGGCCTCAGCTTGGTTGGAGCTTAAGCCAAGCTTAAGTCAACTGAAGCCTTTAAGCCCAGCCATATAACACTTCTAAGATTTCTATGTTTATGTGGAGCTCTGATGACATAGGAGATAACTTCTAGAATACAAAGTTAGGATTTTTTTTGGCCATAGTGATTTATTATTATGATGCTAATCTTTCCATGTTTCCTCCTATGAGAAAAAAAAACTGTTGTTTCCTCCTAAAAGCGAGTGCTTAACGGTCATCCGTTCCTTCAGCTCTTACTTCGCTGCTGCCATAGAGTTTGGTGTAGATTTTCTTCCTCTTTGCACTTACGATTAGGGTGTAAAAGAGCTGAATATGAGCGAGCTGCTGATTTGTTTATGTTTGGCTCGTTTGAAATTTGGTGTTTTTGTGCTACGCTTATGTTTGAAATTGTTTGTGCACAGTGCGTGTTCAGCACATGTGGTTTGAACTGTCTAATAAATAAATAGTGAGACAAACATGATAGAATCATTCTATTTATTTACTAACTACTTAGTATATATGTCTTTATGTATGTATGTCCATGTACACATTTGGTACGGTATAAGTTTAAGAAGATCATCGATTGCATATCATCCATAGACAAATAGTCAATTAAAAACATGTGGTTGCAATGGGAAATACAACTGAACTTACATGCTCAGCCTAGCAGCAATTTAGAAGTCATAGCAATTCATATTCTTTTAACTTAACATGGCATCTTAACGAAGAGCCAGGAATGCAAAGACAATGCTTTATGCAGGCATATGTTTTTTATATTTATATTTATGAATAGCTTTTTTTTCATTTGCAATACAATTTTTGTGTTGTCACGATTAATGGTGATTTGTTTGATTACTTTGCTTGGATTTAGATAAATTTTTATCTCCATTGGTTGTTGCTATTAGGGGTGTAAACGAGTCGAGGAAAGCTTGAGTCATTGGCTCGTCCGTCAAAATGCAAGCTCGAGCTCGAACTTGGCTCTCATTGATGATAACAACCTCACGAGCCAGCTTGCGAGCTTGTGACAAAAATTAAATTATGGGAGCTCACCGGAGAAGGTATCGATGGCTAGAGGAGTGTCACAACAACTTGCGGGGAAGGAATTGACGTGATCATCAATCTGCTAGTTGAGCCAACTCGCAAGCTGCCGACCGAGCTGAGCTTTGACATGCTTGAACTTGAGTTTGTTTAATAAACGAGCTTGAGTTTGAGGTCGAGATCTAGCTCATGGTTCGATAAGTTCGACTTTCAAGCTGGTTAAAGAGTTGACATTGAACTGGCTCGACTCACTTACACACATCTAGCTGCTATTCTGTTTTATTTTGGATATTTGTGTATTCTCAATTTTTTCTTATATTAAAACTAAAGACATACTGGGATGATGCAAATTAGGCATATCAGACATCTTGGTGCTCCTTTAGGCTGATTTTCACAAGCTTATTTTGTGTGCTTTTGTGGAAGTGCCTTCATTGGTAACTTTTGCATTGGGTTCTTTGGTGAGCATGTTAACAAGATGCCTTCAGTAGGAAGCGCTTAGCTCTGGTGATGAAGAGTTAGATTGGTTTCTTGCTGACCAGATTTTTTTTCCCCGTCTGATGAATTTCTTCGGTTTGCATGGCGGTTCAATTTAAAGAATTGACTAAAAAAGAGTTCATTTATCAAATAATTAATCTTAGATAAAATTAAAAGTAATAAACTTTAATGCGGGAATTACATACATACCGCCTAATGGTTATATATTTATGTTGGTTTTTTCCTCTTTGCACCTAGGATTAGGGGTGTAAAAGACTTGATATGTGCGAGCTGGTGATTTCTTTATGCTCAGCTCATTTTCTCCCTAAACTTACAGGCTCAGCCTATCAACAATTTATGGGAAAATTTGCATACATTCCACACAATTTTAATATTTGAAAGTTAAATGAGATTCATTATTTAAACTACCTTTGACATCACTTGGTGATCCTACTGATCCTACTATTCTATCAACAACTATTCTATCAACAACTTTTTTTTTTTGTAGAGCTCAATAAGATTGTTTTTATTGGAATGTGGTCAGCTTGGTTGGAGCTTTAGTAAAGTTGAAGTCAACTGAATCCCTTAAAAGCCCAACCAAATAGTCAGATATAACACATCTAAGATTTTATTTTTGTGTAGCTTTGATGACATAGGAGATGAAGTGTAGAAAACAAGGTTAGGCTTTTTTTTTTTTGGCCATAGTGATTTATTATTATGTTGCTAATCTTTCCATTTTTCCTCCTATGAGGAAAAATTGTTGTTTCCTCCAAAAAGCGAGTGCTTATTGATCATCTTTTGCTTCAGACCTTGCTTCGCTGCTGCCATAGAGTTTTGGTGTAAATTTTCTTCCTCTTTGCACCTACGATCAGGGGTGTAAAAGAGCTGAATATGAGCGAGCTGCTGATTTGTTTATGTTCGGCTCGTTTGAAATTTAGTGTTTTTGTGTTCGGCTCGTTTGAAATTTTTTGTGCATAGTGTGTGTGTTCGGCTCATGAGGTTTGACCTGAGCACAAGCCAATTTCGAATAAATAAAAATTAGTAAATAATGAGACATACGATAGAATCATTGTATTTATCTTCTAACCATTTAGTATACATGTCCATATGTATGTATGTACATGTCCATGTACACATTTGCTACGGTTTAAGTTTTAAGAAGATCATCACATGCATATCATCCATAGACAAATAGTCAAGTAAACACTGGTTGCAATGGGAAATACAACTTAACTTACATGCTCAGCCTAGCAACAATTTAGAAGTCATAGCAGTTCCTATGCTTTTAACTCTTAACATGGCGTCTTAACAAAGAACCAGGAATGCAAAGCCAAGTTTTCTTTTATATTTATATGTCATGACTTTTAAGTTTAACAGTCATAGTGTTTATAAATAGCTAATTTTTTCATTAGTCATACAACTTTTGTTTTGATACAATTAATAGTGATTTATTTGATTACTTTGCTTTTCGATTTAGATGAACTTTGCGGGCGTGTGCGGGCGGGCTGGCAGGCGGGCGTTTGCGCGTCCATCAAAGCGCTTCTAAACTTACATGGCTCAGCCTAGCAACAAATTTGAAGTCAGCAATTCCAACACGTTAACTCTTAGGAAAACTTACATACATACCATACTATTTTTTTATATTTAGATATCTTGCACTTACTTTTCAGGTGTGATAAATCTATGCATGAAAATGTGTATTTAACTTTTTAAAAGTAGATGATAGTGATACTTTTTATTTGATATAATAATTTTGTGTGCTATGTATGTAAATGCTAAACTTTGGGTGTTAGATACATAAGAATTGTGTGGCATGTATGTAAATGCCACTAATTCTTAACATGGCGTTTTAATTAAGAACCAGGAATGCAAAGACAGTTTGCTTAAAATTAGTTCTTTATGTATTAGCTAATTCTCTCATTTGTCTTACAACTTTTGTTTTGACACCATTAATGGGGATTGGTTTGAATACTTTCCTTGGGAATCACATGACTTTTACCTCCTGTAGGTAGCTTCTATACTGTTTCATTGTGAATAGTGGTCTATTCTCAAATTTTTCCTATATTTTAACTAAACAGACATACTGGGATGATGCAAATTAGCCAAATTCAGACATCTTAGTGCTCCTTTAGGCTGATTGTTGCAAGCTTTTTTCGTTTGCTTTTGTGGAAGTGTATCTTCATTGGTAGCTTTTGCATTGCGAGCATGTTAACAAGTTGCCTTAAGTAGAACCGCCTAGCTCTGATGTAAAGAGTGAGATTGGTTCCTTGCTGACCAGATTTCTTTTCATAAAATTTCTTCCAAGAAATTGCATGGGTCTCAATTTAAAGAGTTAAATAAAAAAGAAGGTTCATTTACCGAATGATAAAATAACCCTAAAAGAATAAACTTTTAACGGGGAAATTTACAACATACCACCGAGGTGAAATGTATTTCGAGCAAAAAAGTGAAGCTCGTCTTCATTTTCTTGCATTGAATAAGAGGTTTTAGGTGTTAGATATGTGAATATAAAACTACAAAATGGTCTGCCTAATTGAAAATTATAATTTGTTTTGTTTCTGATTTACTTGGGCTAGATTTGAGTTTTCCTACATATTATTAAATATTTGACTTCTGGTTAAGCTTGATTTTACCTTCCCTTTATTAGTGTTATATGATTGAAAAATAGTTAAATTTGTACCAATGTGGAATGCAGGGGTGAGATTGTTGACATCAGCCTCTCATCAAGTTCTACAATTGGCCTGTCGTAGCTTTATGCAGCCTGAATTTCTGAATTTCTGCAGGTTACTCTAAATCCTTGTACTATATCTCTATAAAATCTTGTGCAAAGTGGAAGATTAGAATATGAGTTAGAATAACATGTGCATCTTCTGTGGTATCATTGATTTATCTCATCTTGCTGGAAGTAAAAGCAGAGAAGGGAAGTTCTAAAGCTGCAGAACCGGCGCTTCTCATGGAAGAAAAATTTCTGAACGAGGAAAATACTGGAGTTGGTGGCGCCTTAATTCTTTAGTGGTGCTCATATTGTGGAAAAGATATTGCGTCCGGAGGACGTGATACAGCGGGGCGGAATGGGAGCTCGGACCTTCGTTGTATCACGTCCGGAGTCCGGACGTAGACGAAGCTCGCTTCCGGACTCTGGACGCAATATTTTCTCAATTAGAGGTGACATCTTAGAAGAAGAGAGTTTTCACTTTTAAATTTAGCATTTGTCTGTGTTTGATTTGTAGTAATTTGTGGAGAGGAAATGATGAAGTATTTGTGTTGATATTAGTTTTAATTCCTTGGTTGAAGGAACTATATATATATATATATATGCATGCATGCATGCATGTTATGTATATGATTGGATTTTTTACCCCATTTTATTAGCACTGAGTGGATAATTGCTAATAAAAAAGGAGTAATTTACAACTTTTTTATAATCATGTCATATAAGAATACTATTTATCAAATGCATTTTGTTAAGATGAATTATTATCGTATAATAATACAATATTATATGAAAAATCAATGATTTGATTCATTTTTTAAGGATATCTATTTAATTTATTTTTTGTATGCCATTCCAAATATAACATGTGTGTTCGTGTTCGGCTCGTTTTGGCTCAAAATACTACTCATAAATTATATATATATATATATATGAATGAGTTAATTAACATATGTAAATAATATGATATTGTCTAACAAGTGTTGGTGAATCAAGTAACCCTAAACATTTGTGCCAATAATTGTCATGCTTAGGAAGAGTTTGAATCTAGAGCATGTCATTGACTGGATTTGATTTGGTTGAATAACAGATTTTGCTTTGTTTTGTTTGATTTATGCTTATACTTGATTTAAATTTTTTAATTTTTTAATTTGTTTATATTAATTGAATAAATTAAAAATTCAAATAAAATATATAATCTTTGAACTTGACTTTCAATTATAAATTTAATTAATAAATAAATAATTGCAATGAAAGATTTTCTTAATATAAACCATTGATTAATACTTTACAAATTTAAATATGAACTAATTGAAGAATTTTTAAATTAAAAATAATTAACTTATAATTAATAAATAAAATAATATATTTTTTTACAATTCATAAACATAAAAAAAAAACATTAAAAAGTCATATGTACATTGATTATGAATTATGTGTTATTATTAGTTATATAATTAAATTTTATTTAAATAATTTAACATATAAATTAAAGTAATTATTAATTTTCTTTTTAAATAAGAAACAAGCTAACTTTAACAAACATGACAGTATTAGCTGAAGCTAAATTAAGTAATTCATCAAGTGCATCTTCCCATTTACAATCCTAGCAATGGATTTCGTAAATTCTAATCTTTGCCAACATCCAGCATTCAATAATTTAACAATGAGCCCTTAAAACATAATAATAATTAAATAAATACTATACTATTATTATCAACAATGGCTTCCATACATTCTTCCTCCCTCATTCCGAAAGATCAAACCAACCCTTCACTCCCAGCAATAAAAGAAGGCCAAACACGTCACATACAAAGGTAAATGAGAATGAGAAATCTGTGGCAATAACAATCAGAAAGAAAAAAAGCAGAGAGCAGAAAGAGAGGGAAGGGGACATTCTGCTAGTAGAAGATACAATAGAGAGAAAAGCACGAGGATCATTATTACCTCGAAGCCTTCTTGCGGCTGAGAATCTCGTGTTCTTTCAGGCGGTGCTGGAATCTGGCCAGGCGAGCTTGTAGGCCGGCCAGTCCGGCAGCCTTCCGCGACAGGAGGAAGCTGAGCTGCGATACATACGTGTCAATTTGGCTTCCCGGTCGGTCCACCTCCGCCAATAAATTCATTTCCTGCGCACTTTTCAAGTTTCAGTTAAATTGTCCTTCATCCTAATCATGCTAAATTCAGGGGGTATTTGCATACAATAACAATCAATTCTCATGTATTTACATATCGGACACCTAAACTCACACTTTTTTTTTACATTTATACCACGCAAATCTTTCATATCACATAAAAAATACCACTATTTTAACATATGCTTGATTTATTAGTTATATATTTGCACTAAGTTTAAAGCAAATATAACAAGTAGTAAACTCATCCTATATTCAAACAATTTGGGTCCAAATGTTTCGATCCATATTTTGATTGCCATTAAAACATTAAAATATTCTAGAAAACAATCCTCATAAAATAATTCAAGTGAGTTCAATTTTAGAACCTTACTTTAGTCACACAAGTCAACTTTTCAGTAAAACCATATAAAGGGTTGGAAGGCGATAGAGAGCGCCCCTTTTGGGGGCACGGCAGAGCCCCCAAAATGTATCAAATATTTAGAATTTGTTTCATTAGCAACGTTTGGAGAACTATATGCATTTTACATTCATACCATCCAATTCCTATCAATTTACATATCTAGAACCTAAACTTTACTTTTTACATATATATTACCCAAATTTTTCATTTCAGATTAAAAATACCATCATTTTAACTTCTAAGAGGTAAATTACACCTGTTCATGCATAGGTAAGTTGGTATGTAAAAATTGAAGTTCAGGTGTCAGATATGTAAATACTTATGAATTAAATAGCATGTATGCAAATCTTCTTATATTTTTTTTTGGTTGCTCTATTTTTTTCTAACAGGCATCACTTATAGTTGTATCAAAGGCATTAAGACTTCCAATTTCTTCACAATCAAATCATAGTGAAACTGACAATAAAGATAGAGAAAAAGAGGCAGTCATCAATAAAGTCAACCTATTATTTTATTGGGCATTTCATTTGTTGCTCTAGCAGACTAAGTATGTTCTACCTGTTTCCCAACATTGATAGTAGCATTAAAAGAAGGTACGAATATAAGATAACTTACCTCTCGAACTATCTCCATTGTACTTTCAATTTCTTTTCTATGAGCTGCTATTAAGGCCTCTTCCTCCTGCATCAAATTTAAAAAGAAGCTCGGTAACATATCAGAAATAAACTAAAAGAAAAACGATGAAATAATCATATGCACCTCAAGCAATGCATTAATTTCACCATCACCGAATGGATCTTCCTGTTCATATTGCTGCTTATTGCTTGTGCTCTGCCCTTCCGAAGTATTTTTCCTAGACCAACCCATCTTTCTTTCTATTTTTTCTTCTCTTGGAGCTTTCCTGCGTGGTGGAGAGACCTTCGTTGCCTTTTCCTCATCCTGGCCATCAAAAGAGTTTTGTGCTGAAAAGTATAACTGATGGTTTGAAGACGAACCATAGGCTGTCTTAGTCTCAATCTTTTCCATAGGTGCTTCTATAGATTCTGGTTCATCTGTGAAGGGAAAGGATGAGGTTGATAAAGATTCCTTAGTGGAAGGTATTGAAGGAACAGAAGCTTGGTCCTTTTTAGAATTTCCACCCTTTGAGAGGCTTTTAACCCTGTTAAATAATTTTAAAAAAAATATTCATGGGGTAACAATGCAAAACAATGTCTTCCTAAAATCACTGAGTCTATAGAAGATGTGGCAGTTTTTAATTAAGTACCTGTCAGCATATCTAAGAGTATTTAGGGTATGCTCGCAAGAACCAGCGTTTGGAGAAATGCAGGAAATCATAACGGTCTTTGAATTCCCCACAAAGGAGTCACGAAGAACTTCTGTAAGTTTGCTTCCTCTAAAAGGAATGTGGATTTGATCATTATCGAGTGCACGGATGCATTCTTTTAAAGCCAAAAGGCTCTTGTTTATTTCTGCTCCTTCAATCCTGTAGTGGATAAAATAACGCATAAATGAACTAGTGAAATTAACATACATACATACAATTCTTATGTGTTTACATATCTAACACCCCAAGTTTGATATTTACACTTATGACGCCTTAGTATCATACACTTATGAGCCTATGCATTAAAATGCATATTTCAGTTTTAAAAAAATAGTGATGGTCGTATTTTTTATGTGAAGTTAATTTGAGTGACCATGTAAATATGAATGTTTAGGAGTTAGATATGTAAATACGTAAGAATTGTGTGGTATAAATGTAACTGCCCCAAACTAATAAACTAAAAGATTTCCTTGAAGGAATAACTCACAAAAAGGAGACCGAGTTATTGACATTAACAAAAGGGATTAATCATAATAGACAACATGAATGATTAATGATAACAAATCATATGGATTCAAAAATGGCACTAGGAAAAGTTTCAGGGAAATATACCGTGTCTGACGATCATTATCCGTTGTATCTGCGCCTCGCTCACTTCCAGCAAGATCAATAAAAGAGATCTTCCCAATCAGCTTCCCACTCTTGGCTTCATAAGCTTCGTTCGGCCTTCTAGTGTCAATAACATCTTTATGCTTCTTAATGGCAAGTTGTAATATAGCATGAGACCTTGATGATTCTTCATTTGCTCCAGTGGAGCCTGTACTTCTTGCAGCATTTCCTTTTTCAATAAATTCATTAACTACACGCACATCAGAAACCTCAAATTCTTGCAATCCGACGATGCAAACTTGTTGCCTGCCATCTTCTCTCATGCAGAGTTTCCTGATAAAAATTAGTCAAAGAAATTTAGTATATGATCAGGGGCAGAACCAGAACTTGAAGAAAAGGGTGTTGAATAAAAAATTAAGGAGTAACGAGCATTTAAGTTAAAAACTTTCAGTACTTTGAATTTTAAAAAACTATTATACATATTATTATTAATTGAAAAATATAATTAATTTTATATAATTATTATTAAGAATTTATATTTTGGAGGGCGAAATTTTTCAATATTTTCTATGATGCTAAAGAGTTTAGTAAAAACATATTAGTGGCAGTGCCTCTCCCAGCCACCCCATGATTCCACACCAACGGATATATTAAATTGACATTAAAAGTATAAGAGAGAAACTTGAGCTAAGCCATCAAAGCTAACATCCATATGATAATGCTAGACTATCAGACTATAGGCATGACCTCCTGCATCATATTGAACAATAAATGACTGCGCATGCCTATGAAGGATAGTTTTTAAAATAAATCATTCCAGGAAACAAAGAAAGATGCAAATCATATAATTTCTTGATGATTTCACCTGAAATGATATAGATGCAAATCATTCTTGGTTGCTAAAGTAGTTAATTTGTTCGAAGCCTATTCGTTGAGATCTAAAAAAGGCATTCAATACGCTTACATGGCAACATAAATTTTTTAACTTCTTATGATTTATTCTAACTTTAGAAGAAGAAGAAGAGCACTCCATTTTGAGTTGTTAAAAAAATCTACATAGCTACATCATATACAAATATGAGAAGTCCATCATATAAAAATATCAGTATTCCAAAAGAGCACAAGCAAGCAAGTAATTAAAATTTTGGATAAGTGGTTGAAGATTTCAAAAACATTACAAACATATCACTTATATGCAACTTTTTCAGCTCTAATAGAAACCTTCAGAAATTGGGAATCATTCCATTCTATTATCATTCCTGCTCCTGCTGACATAGGTACAGCTTTGAAAATAACTGATCACACGTTCCTTTTTTGTACGAAAGGCAATTAGAATTAATTCCACAGATCCAAGTAGTCATACTATGGGAATCAAGTACGGAGAAATTTACCTCCTATCGCTGAGAAGATCAAAAAGCTTCCCTCCATAGATCTCAAAATAGCTAAGCCACAGTTTAAATCTCTGATTAAGATAGTTGGGATGCCGCAACAAACGAACAATATCTTCAGCAGCTCGAAGAGGTAATGGTTTCATTGTATAAGTCTTGCCACTTCCTGTTACGACCCAATTAAAAAAAATTACATCAAGTAATACAGGCTATAAGAATAATACTATGTAAGGGGTAGATGACAAGTGCAGGGCAATAAATATACATAGGAGTAATTATATGGTCAAATAAAATAAAATATGAATGTAGTAAGAAGAATTAGAGAACAACGGAATTTTCTTTTGCAATATAATAAGGGTGAAGTGGGGCTTAGGCCCTGGTTGAACCGATTTATAGAAGGATGGACCGGCACTCCCTCCCACTCCTTTGTTGGGACCCACGGAGGGAAGAGAAAAAGGGGGTGGGCAGCACTTCTGTGCCTTTCCCTTTTCGCTATTTGATTCCTTATTCTATGTCATTCATTTTCTATCTTCTTCCTATTCTATCCACTAGTACCATTATATGTATGTTGTTAGCTTGCTTAGAGGATAGATTTTGATTGATTCTTCTTTCATATTTCTGCCTCCAGACATTCTTTCCTAGCTAGTGTTGTATATGACGACAGGTTGTGTTGTATATGACGACCGGTTGTGTTTCGGTTGTATCCCGCTCCGAGGTGATGAATATCCCGAGCAATTCTCCCACATACCCCTCTCCCCTACATGCTGCTCTCCAGCCGGAGTCCCCACCTTCCCTGACCAACCATTGATTCCCTATCCTAGCTATTGCCACCGCAACAAACCCCACCTACAGCCCACTTGCTCGCCGCTAGCTTCATTCGTCCCTTCCACTAGGCCACTCAGCCCCTCCAACCGCCTTACCGAGCCTCACACTCCCCTTCCCATCTCCTCCCTGCTACGCCTCATCTCTCTGTTTGTTCCTAGTCGAACAACAGACCTAGACTCAACCACCCCTTCCACCCCAACCCTAATCATGTCACCATGGAGATACCGGTCAGACACTGGCCTGGACAAGATACAATGAGAGATCTATCTTCTGCAACAGAGGTTGACAGAGATGAATGATGGGACCCAAGAAAAGATTACCCTTCATTGCGATCTGGAGAGTCAAAGGAGAGATGGGGATGACGATCTGAATTCGTTCCACAAGAAAGATATCAATGAAGAGGAATATCGGCCATGTCGGCACAAAATTCAATATAAGAGGAGACTAAGAGGAGAGCCCACGTATGGTGGACACGAAAATTTCAACATCAAAATGGATCTACCAGAGTTTGATGGAGATATGGATTCAGATGATTTTAATGACTAGCTACAATCTGTTGAACGAATCTTAGAGTATAAAGATGTACAAGAGGATAAACAAGTGAAATTAACAATTATCAAGTTGAAAAAGAGTGCCTCTTTATGGTAGGAGAATTTACAAAGACAGAGGACAAGTAAGGGCAGTTACAAGATCACAATGTGGGAAAAGATGAAGAAAACAATGCAGATGAAATATCTCCCATCCCACTACTGCCAGGACATGTTTCTAAGGCTCCACCACCTGCAATAGAGAGATATTTCAATTGATGAGTTCATGACATAGTTCGATCAACTACAGATGAAGTCTGAGTTGGTTGAACCACAGGAGCACACATTGTCCAGTACCTGGGGGCCTGAAGCCTGCTATTAGCAATGTGGTCAAGTTACAACCATACTGGATGCTGGGGGAAGTTCAAATTCTAGTGAAGGTGAAAATGCAACAAAAATATAGTAGGCAGTAGTCCTCATTCATGCGGCAACAGCCTTCACTCAAGCAGTCACCTACAACTACTGCAACCAACAAAAATGCCTCAGAAGGAGCTAGAAAGACGAGAGAGGGAAACACAAGACAGATCAGAGTGGAAAGAAACCAAAAAAAAGGTAGCTCTTCTAATACTAGCCGGGAAGTGTTTCAAGTGCCACCACTACGGATACATTGCCTTCATTTGTCCAATAAGACGAGTTGTTACATTCATGGATTAGGGTGTCGTTGAAGAAGTGGAGGACGAGAAGTCCGGGGTCAGTCCAGAAGAAGAACTTTAACTCCAGGAGGACAAGGGAGAATTGCTAGTCATACGAAGAGCTATGCTGTCAAGGCCAGAGCGTGATCAATCCTGATTGAGACAACATCTTTCGTACCAAGTGAATGGTAAAGGGAAAGGTTTGTAGCTTGATCATTAACAGTAAGAGCTTTGAAAATGTGTTGTCCATGCTGACCATTAAGAAATTGAGATTGGCCACACAAAAACAACCCCAGTCCTATTCACTTATTGAAGAAGAGAAACCAGATACACGTGAAACAACTGTGCTTGGTCGAATTTTTAATTGGGAATTAGCTGCAGAAGCAAGTATGATGTGATGTGGTTCCGATGGACTTCAAGTATACTTACTCCTTCAAAAAGGATGTAAAAAACGTCGTGTTGTCACCTGTTAAGAATGCAAAAGGTGGAGGCCACACAGGGGAAGTATTAGATCCACGAGTCAACTTCATGCAAACAGTTTGGGATGCTCCAGTGACACTGTCATTTGTCTTCCTAGAGGAAACTAAGTAGTGTGATATACCAACACTACCACAGCCAAACCCACAAGACATCCAGGATGTGATGACCGACAACCTTCCGGAAGAATTACCACCACTAAGGGACATTCAACAAGCCATAGATGTTATAACAGGATATGTGCTGCCAAATCGGCTCGCTTACAGATTGAGACTTGCGGAGTATGAGTTACTGCAACATGTATAGGATCTCGTCGCGAGAGGGCTAATAAGAAAGAATACCAATTATGTGTTACTCTTGCCCAGATGGTGCCCAAGAAAGAAGCGTCATGACGGATGAGCATGGACAATAAAGTCATCAACAAGATTACCATGAAGTATTGGTTTTTCATACCTCGCCTAGATAATCTCTTGAACCAATTACATGGAGCCACCATTTTTTTCCAAGATCGACTAGAGCAGTGGGTATTAATAGATACGGATGAGGCCAAGAGATGAAAGGAATAGCGCTTTCAAGACATGAGAGGGACTTTACAAGTGGATAATTATGACTTTCGGCTTATCAAACGCTCTCAACACTTTCATGAGGTTAATGAATCAATATCCTACATTTGGAAATTTGTTGTGGTCTACTTTGACGATATTCTAGTATACAAATGATCCAAGGAGGAGAACGTACAACACCTTAGGGAGGTGTTCGAGGTATTGCAAGCAGAGAAACTATATGCACATCTGAAGAAATGTCACTTCATGACAAACCATGTATGGCTTTTGGGCTATATTGTGTTTAATGCAGGCATTCAGATGGACCCTGCAAAGATCGAGGCCATTAGAAGCTGGAACGCACCGTGGTCATTCATTGAGCTGAGGCAAATTCTAGGGCCAACATCATCTTATAAACGATTCATCAAAAACTTCAACACTACCACCACCCATCTAACTAAGTTTTTGAAAAGAAATGAGTTCACTAGGACAAATGCAGCGCAGACCAGCTTCGACACCTTGAAGGAGGTGACTCAGGAAAAGGGTGTAAACGAGCTGAACACGAGCTGAAACGAGTCGAACACGGACGAGCCCAAGCTCAGCTCGTGTTCGGCTCGTTAACTTAGGGCATTTGTTTTAGCTGCAACTATAAAAAAGCTGGTTTGAGAAGTTGTTAAACATCAGTTGTTTAGAAGCTGATGTTTCAGAAAAAGTTTGCTTGTTTGAAAAATGCAGTGCTGGAAGCGCTCTCTGTAGACATAATGACTGTATTGCCCTCAGTATGAATACAATTTTGTTTGAAAAACACAGTTTTGAAAGTGCTTCATGTATAGTCAATTCAATGATAATCTTTAATGTTATTTTTCGAACGCAATACTGTTAGTGAAGTCAAGACGAATATCAACTCAAATTTCTCTAGTCAAAATAATCATACAAATATAAGTTCAACAAACGTCACAAACACAATTAACATCACAAGCATATGTTCTCCCAAATAATCAACATCAAAAGTAGTTGTTACACAAATATATCAAGTTCGTTCCACTCAAAAGACATACGATAAAATTACTCATAGAAGAATCACGAGTAAAGAATCCTCCTCTCAAGTGCCATGGACGTGAAAATATATCTCTTGACAGGATCTTCAATTAACTTCAATGAGTAGAGGTACAAGGGAATATCTTCATAGACTTCTATTATCTGCTCTAATATTTTTATCACATCAAGGATGGATGGACACGATTGTGCAGTGGTGGCCTCGAATGATAAGTTTATGCATGTTTTAACTAGATTTGATATTTGAATTCTCAGATACGAAGGACCAATTTTTTTACTACGAACTATCCTTACCTTTAAAGGAGAAGTTCATGCACGACTAGATTCGCTATGTTCATTTCTATCATGCAGTGATCTTTGAATAGGATCAAGTGAGCTTTCTCTGGGCTCTTGCTAACCTTGAGGAGTTCAAGTATTATCACCAATAGCAACAACGCTACCAAACATAAGACCAAGCTTCTCTTCTAGCGCGAGTTTGATTCCACAAAACCTAAATTTCTTAGCATTTGGAACAACCTGTCGGTAAAATAATCATAAGGTAAAGTTATGTCTAAGAATTATACGTGCAAATGAAATCAAAATACAAATGTGTAAAACTTGATCTCACGTCTAGTTTCTTCTTCCACCATTTTGCTAATGCATCTACGGTGTTTTTAGTTGAATCCAAACCAAGTCCAGTAGATCCTTTTTTGAGTTCTTTCCAAAATGTTCAATCTTTTTTTAATTATTCTCATTTATTCTTTAATTGAGTACAGTCATACACTCTTATGGTTTTCGCTTGGAAAATTTTTATAATAGTTTGCCAACATTTTTTGTTTAAATATGTTGTTGGCCTATTTCTTAAGTCAATTTTTTAAGCATATATCACAAAAAAATCATGTTGTTTCTTTTTCCCATGTAGTGAATGATGTGTAGTCTCTTGAATTGCCCATTTACTAATGTATCTAACAAACATATATATGATTTCAAATGTTATATGAAACTGATCTAGCAATTTAAAGTTCCTTGTATTAATCTCACAATATAACATGAAAGAAGATCACATAAAAAATGAGGGGGCATTTACATACAAACCACACATGTATTATGATTTCAAATTGAAAAGGCATCAAATGTCTTCACACATGACATCTTATATGAAATCATCAGATTCATCATAATATAAGATAGGTTGACCCAAATTCGGTTATATCTATTTTTTTACTAGAAGATAAATTATAACTTCACCACTGGGTATACTTTACATTTCCTATTAATAGCATTGGAAAACAACGAACACAACCTTCTTTGTTTAAATGTTTTTAAAAATGTTACAATTTCAATGAACTAAAGACTAAGAGAGCTTGTACAAGTAGTAGTTTTCCTCCATTATTTTATGAATGCTATACGTTTGTGATTCCCTAAAAAATCTAGCACTCATAATTATAAGAAATTCATGCATGGTATAGAACTTCACAAAAAAATCCAACACCCCCATTTATGTAAAATTTCGACCAAATACGTCATGTCCTTCAAACACCCCCATTTATAAGAAGTTCATGCATGATATAGAACTTCATAGAAAAACCTTATGAGAACTTACATGACAATGCCACAACACTTCAATCAAACATAAGTGAACCTTATAAAAAAATTTTGGTCTCTTCAATTCTACACATTTTAGAATGATTCAACAAAATCAAGAAAAAAAACTTGAATCGCTAGCTTCTTTCAAATACTTCTTCCCCCTCAAAATCCAGTATAGAACTTTAGAATGACTCAACAAAATTGAGAAAACAAACTTCAACTGCTTGTTCAACCCTTAATAGAGAAATTTTAAAACTTTCCAAAAAACACATCCATGAATTCCCTTGCTTTGGCAGCAGAATAGAGAGGATGAAGAAATCCCCAAAAATATCTTCAGAAATGCCAAAATCAAAAGCAAAACAAGAAAACGTAGCAACTAGACAAATTCCAGCCTTAGCACACTTTCCCTCGAAGACTACTATTTGGTTCAATGAAAGTTTGGAGCACCAACGAAAAAACACAATCAAAGCATGGGAGCAGAGAACCTCAACCAAATCATATCTTAAAGAAGCAAAAAGGGCAACACGAATGGGAGAGGGCTCCCTACGATAGCTGCGCACATTGAGGTTCTTCACGTTAAAAGGCTAGGACACGCGAAGTAAGCGAGGACAACAGAGGAAATTGTTAACTCGAGAATGCGGAACGTGGCTACAGAGCCACAACCGCGATTATTATTAGTCCGCGTTTTGCAGTTCGAACCGCGATGGCCAAACACAAGAATCAAATGACTTATTAAGCTATTTCAGTTCATAATCTGCTTTAGAAAGCTGAAACAAACACTCTCTTAGCAAACGAATTGAATATGAGTTTCTTATTAAGCCGGACACGAACTTTTTGCGAACGACGAGCCATTTTGACATCTTAAACTCAGGTACCAGTTCTAACATTATCAGATTTCAACCAACTATTTGAGATAGAGTGCGATGCATCCGTCCTAGGAATAAGGCCAACGCTAAGCCAGAGAGGCCACCACATCTCCAAAGCTGAATAATTTCATGAGAAAATACTCAACATACAACAAGGAGTTTTATGCTATTGTAAGAGCTATTGAGCATTGAAACCGTTACCTACTGACAAGCGAGCTGACGTTTTTTATAGATCACGAAGCATTGAAATTCCTAACTAGCTAGAGCAAACTGAAGGACCGACACGCCATTTGAGTAAATTTTTTAACATCATTCCAGCTCGTGTTCAAGCACAAGGTAGAAAGTCAGGACCACCTAGCAGGCGCGCTCAGATGTTGTCACCTACTGATCAAGTTGATGCAGACACTAAGTTGTTGTTTTTGAGATATTGAAGGACTTTTACGAGGCAAATGAAGACTTCAAGGAGATTCGGGAACGATGTAGGAAGACGCCCACTAGAAGTACAATAGAAACGATGGGTACTTGCTATACCAGAGTAAGTTGTGCATTTCTATGTACTCGCTAAGGGAGGCCATTGTTCAGGAGAGTCATAGTGGAAATCTGGAACGATATTTTGCAGGAACAAGACTCGCATATAAGAGAACACTTCTTTTGGCCACAACTGATGAGAGATGTGGAGCGACAAGCCAGACAATATAGAATTTGTCATGTGACACAGACCAAAGGGCAGAATGAAAGATTGTACATTCCATTACCGGTACCAGAGGCACTGTGGGTAGACGTCAGCATGAACTTCGTGGTGGGTCTCCCGAGGATGCAGAGGAACAATGACTCAATGATTGTTGTCGTTGACTGATCCTCGAAGATGACACATTTCGTACCCTGCCACCGAACACTGAACGCATCTCATGTCATTGAATTGTACTTCAAAGAGATCGTGAGATTGCACGAAATCCCCAGGAGCATCACCTACAATAGTGATGTCAAATTTCTGAGCCACTTCTGAAGGATCTTGTGGAGGAAGTTAGGCACTAAACTCCAATTCAGTACATTTGCTCATCCATAGACGAACAGTCAAACAGATGTAATAAACAGAAGCCTAGAAAACCTTCTAAGGTGCTTTGTGGGAAAGAGCATTAAGCAGTGGGATCTAATTCTAGCACAAGCCGAGTTTGCATACAAAAGATCAGTGAGTCAGACCACAAGATTCACTCCGTTCGAGATTGTGTACGAGCACAACCCGCTCACACCACTTGAGTTGGTACCATTCCTACCAATATCAAAGATCAGTGAGGATGTTGAAAAGCTGGTTCATGAGATTAAAAAACTCTACGAGGTTGGAAAGGGGATTACTAACCAAAACCACAAATAACAGGCACATATGAATAAGTCCAAGAAGAATGTAACGTTTCAAGAAAGAGACCTCATGTGGATTTGGTTGAACCGATTATAGTACTTCTATTATAAGTAGTAGTAGTAGCAAACATAGTTCTTCGACCACGACCCTTCATTCGAATGTAAGGCGGGGCTTTCAGAAGGCCTTGAAGGAGGATATTGCAAGTGGTCCACTCTCTCATCAATAACAGTGGATCAACCCGTTATCAAAGAGAGATTTCCGGTGAGAGCATTTGGGGAAACTCGACTACAGAGCAAACGAATCTTCCAAAATACTTCAGAAGCTTGATGATAATGCTTATAAGATCGATCTACTAAGAGACTACAACGTTCATTGTGGCAGATCTGACACTGTATTACGAAAATTCAGAAGCTTCGCCAGATAAGGTTGAAGCCCCAACCCTGGGAGATTGAACTGAGGCTAAGGCCCTAGCTGAACGGACCAGCGGTTCAACAAGTGGCTAGATCGACCCTCCCTCTCGCTCCTCTTTCATATTTGACTCCTACCATAGGGGGATTCCTTCATATTCTATTTAATTCCTTTTCTATCTCCTTATTCTATCTACTAGTATCCATTATATGTATATTGTTGACTTGCTTAGAGGATAGTTTTTTATTGATTTTGCTTTCAGATTTTCGCCCCCAGACTTTCTTCCCTAGCTAAGGTTGTATCTGATGACAATTGGTGCTCTTACTGCATTTAGCTCTGAGGTGGTGACTATCCGAACATATTCCCCCACTTACCCCTCTCCAACCAGCATCTCTACCTTCCCTGACCTGCCATCGATTTCTTGTCCCAGCTCTTGCTGCAGCTGCAAACCCCACATGCTCGTCGCCAGCCCCATTCCTCCCCTCTGTTGGGTCACTCAATCCCTCCAGCCACCTCACTAAGCCTCACACCCCCTTACCATCTCCTCCCTACTACGGCCCATCTCCCTATTTGTTCTTAACCAGGCTGCAAGCATGGACTAAACTTTCGGTCACAACCGAAATCTTCCCCCTCAGACCACATTGCCACTGCCCACTGGGCCTTCCTAATTAGCCCTAACTGGGGATTCTTGTTGTGTTGTCTATTCTTTCTTAATCTTGTTTGTAACCTCATTGGTTTGGAGTAATAAAATTTCGCTCTTCCTATCGGATTTTTGGGTTAACTATGATATCAAAGTAATTCAGTATGAATGAAATACAAAATGCAAGCTAACATTCTTTGACTATTCCCAGATCAAGAGTTCTCAAAGTTACCCTCTCCAGATACAACAAACTCGAGGACAAGTTCCACAACCATAAAAAAGTATAGCGTTGATTAGCACAAATAAGACAATTCCAATATGTTTAGTTCAATTTTTATCATCATTCTGAAAATAACAATTAACACTTAGAACCATAGTTAAAACCTTCCAGTTATAGAAGGAAACATATGTAACATTGACTTCTAAGACCACGCCCAAAAATTTGTTATTACATGTTGAATTACTTTAAACTTCATTAATGATCACAGAAATGGTCTCTTAAGACACTAGCATATTTGCGCATCTGATTTGAGGTCACAAGCTTCAAATGAACGAATATAATAATACATTTTTAAATTATGAGAAGCAAGAACATGACCCAATTTTCACAATATAGAAAATGAAGAAACCAGTTACAACTGATAATATTATAAACATGTTGGGTATAAATTTCCACACTAAAAAATTCACAAACCAGTATAATTGATAATATTCTAAACATAGCATAGATAAGGCAGAGAAAATGAGAGGTTTAAGTATAAAATTGCACTACGTTTAAGATAAATTTTGTAGCATTTAAGAGTAGAAGTTAGTGCCTCTGTAAGGAAAATGAGAGGCCCACCTGTTTGACCATATGCAAAACAAGTGGCTTTTGTCTGCTTAAAAATTGATGGTATTATTGGTTCAACAGTCACGCGATATACCTGCATGGTTAAGTCAACAGGCATTGTAAGAAAAATACAAAACAATATGAACATCAAAATTAAACAAGCAAGAAAGAAAACACACACAAAAAGACTAAGAACCAAGAAAAAAGTTGACTTGAAATGTCATGGCTGAGCAACTAATAATACCTCATCATTAGTGACATGCTCGTCAATAACCGCATCAAAGCAAAACTCGTGTTTTTCCACATATGCGGTCAGGTCCACCTACCAAATGAAAAAGAAAGACAATTATAAGAGTTAATTTGTTACAAATGGTTCCATGACAGCTTCAATCATTCAGATAACTGAGTCTTGAAGAAAAAAAGCCGGGCTTGCTACGAAAACATAGAGATCAATTGATAATTAATTCTTTAATTTTTAAATGGAAAAAGCATAATTTGTTTCACACCTAAATCAAAATAGTCATACACTCCTCGAAAAACAATGATGATTTTCTGGGTTGTGTTTCTAAAGGAATATTTACATACATACCACTCAATTCCTATGTATTTACATGTTGAACGCCTAAACTTCAATTTTTACATACATGCAACCTTACATATGCATGATTACGTGTATTTTACTTTTTCAAAGTTAAAATGATGATATTTTTAATGTAATATAGAATATTTGGGAAGTACAAATATAAAAGGTAAAATTCAGGTTTTAGATATGTAAATACATAGGAATTGGATGGTATGCATGCAAATGCCCATTTTCTAAAATATGTTACATGCGATGAACTAAACTGAAAGGGAGAAACAGGAAAGTAATACATAAGCTGAGAATAGTAGAAAACAAGATAGACTTGTAAATCTAGAATAGAGTTAGAAAAATTTGGGTCTATTTGTGGTGGCTACAATTGTTTGTAAAAGTAGCTGTAAAACTATTATCAGGAAAGCAACTAATTTAAAAGCTACGGGGACTATGCATTAAGGGTTAAGGTACGGGTAGGATTGGGCTGATGTGGATAGTTGTTGGGGAACAATAAAGCATTCATCAACTCTCTTCAATCAGAATCAATTTTAAGGATGCATTATAATTGTGAAACACAACCCGAGTCAAAAATAGAAGGGAGCAGGTGCTCTTCCTCGCACTCCCATCGACCAACTCTAAGTGAAATAAAAACCTTTATCTTAAATAAAATTGGTGACATTGCTATGGTAAACACCTTAAAAATTACACCAGCCATTTGGATGAAATACAAGCAGTTGTTGACCTAGTTTTTAGCTGTGGCCATAACAATCAGTCCTTTTACCAGCTTTTATTCTGCACCAACACCTTTAACCCAAAAAATGACAACAGATTTCAATTCATGGTCAACCTCTCCGAATATCATCTTGTACTCCCATCCTCCCTCTCCTAACTCACCGACAACATGACCAACCACTTTACCTTTCCCTCCCCTCTTTCCATTGAAGGGTTGACCAAGCACTAATGTTCAATGTTGGTTGGCATGACTAATTACTATGTTGTTAGAACTCTAGGGCCTCCTACTACTAAGTGTAGAACAGAGTTCCAGGTTAACTATTGTGAGAAACTTAGTCTTTAGTGAACTATGTTTTGCTATTATTTTAAACCTCTCACCACAAGATGACCTTCACAAGCATTGGTTCGCCACTTTACCAAGCACTAATGTTCAATGGTTCGCCATTTTCCCTCTCCTGACTCACCGACAACATGACCAACCACTTTACCTTTCCCTCCCCTCTTTCCATTGAAGGGTTGACCAAGCACTAATGTTCAATGTTGGTTGGCATGACTAATTACTATGTTGTTAGAACTCTAGGGGCTCCTACTAAGTGTAGAACAGAGTTCCAGGTCAACTATTGTGAGAAACTAAGTCTTTAGTGAACTATGTTTTGCTATTATTTTAAACCTCCCACCACAAGATGACCTTCACAAGCATGGTTCACCACTCTCCATCGATTAATTCAAAAGATTTCCATCCTGAAGCAATCTTATTACAAAATAAGATATTCATATAGAATGTAGAATAGAAAAATGTTTAATTTGATATTTTTCACTGAAACAACGTTGAAAAAATATTATGATAAGAAAATAATGGTTTAATAAATAGATAAATGCAGAGTGGAAGGCAGCATGATAGTTCTATGCTTGTCTTTTGAGATTTAAGTCATAGTTTCTTGTGATAACTAAGATAGAGGTGATACTAATTCCTTCTGAAGTAGGAAATAGAAGGGTTTAGCCACCACAACAATTGAGAATTACAATCAGGACTGAAAAACTTTGACAATTGCTCATAAAGGATGATAAAGATATGTTCATTAATGGCTGATCAACATCATCTAACAACATGCAAGAGTTGAGTTTGAGTAGCCTTAAGAACTAAAGATTAGCAATCTATAAAATGAAAATTTAGGTTTGACAGTGAGAATCTCTCTATTGAAGATTTAGGATGAGTTGGTGTGACAAAGAAAATTGCATCCACGACTGCATCGCAGTGGTACGTGAATTGCATGCCATGGCTGTTTCCAGGCATTGCATTGCACCACTTGTACAACGGTTGACCATCAAAATGCACCCCAAGTGGCTGTTCCAACCAATCTCATTGAAGTTAGTGATTTTACGAGAGTTAGAACTATTTGTGAGAAAAGCAGCTAAATGGAGGTTGGAGGATAGGACATCTATGAACATTATATATATGCCCAAATATTTAATTTACTGATAATTAACCATCAAAACTATCATAATAATAACTTCAAAAATTCAAGGTTCATCCCTAATTATCATAATGATTTACAAACAGATATTCATTTAAAAAATTGTAATATTTTCAATATTGACATATTGACCAACAAATTCCACTCCTATATACACCCCTCAAAGATGACGACCAATTTAGACTGAAATAGATATTAGGTTAAACATTAAGGGTCTGTTTGGGGCAGCTGCAACTTATTGGATAATATGTTGATAAGCTGATTAAAAATAATCTGCTAATAAGCTAGATGTAGTGGCTATTACAATTTTTTTATTATTTTGGAAAAGTCAAACCGTTGCCAGATAGGTGCGGTGTGAAAACGTTGTTTTCAGCGTTTTAAAAACGTATAAGCTGCCAAAATGCAGTTTATCCAAACAGGTCTGGCGTGTTTTCAAAACGCCACCCCACTAAATAAGCTGCCTCAAACAAGCCCTAAGATCCAAATCAATATTCAATAACCTAGACATGATTCAAGTTCTAACTCAGTGTTAGATCAATTGAGTTTCAACCACTATCCTGCATGAAATCAAACTCTTGAAATTTGAAATGAACACTAGTGATAGTGTTAACCAAACAAGGCAGCCAAAAAGCAGTTTACCCAAATAGGCCACGTGCATTTTCAAAATGCCACCGCACTAAATAAGCTGCCCCAAATGGGCCCTAAGATCCAAATCAGTATTCAATAACCTAGACATTATTCAAGTTTTGACTCAGTGTTGTTAGATCAATTGAGTATCAACCACTATCCTGCATGAAATCAAACTCTTGAAATTTAAAATGAACACTAGTGATAGTGTTGACCAAACAAGGCATGCAACATGCCACACGTTAGTGCCATCGGAGAATCAATATCCCCTTCAAATGCCAAGAGGAAGAAAACAGCTAAAATCTGTTAATATATAAATGCTCACATCCAGTGCTATCACATTATCAAATCAACAACTGATAACTCCAACTGGAAACAAAAGAAATTTAAATAGCTAAGGCAATAAGAAGGAAGAAAATTCTTGTAAATTTATAAACAAAATTGGAAAATCTAAATTCCAAAACAGGGATAGAATCCAAATTGTACTTCAACAGAACAAAAAACAATCAATCCAAAATAAGGTCAGGTAAATAGAAGTGAAAAGCGTATGATACGACAATTTATTAATCTTGTAGAATAATTAGAAAGGCATGGAACTTCGAAATCCCGAGAGCCCCTGAAAGTTCATTCATCCGGACTGCCCACATAGGAAGCTGCCGAAAAACAGTGAGAAAAACTACTTGAGTTTGAGCCTTAAAGTGGGCGTTCCTGGCACGAGTAATCTACAGGGAAAAGGTGAATCCGTCCACATTTCCCATTTGCTCTTAAAATTTTACCATGGAAATACTGATAATGTGATGGTTAAGCTGTTTTAAATATTATTTAAGGATTATTATGAAATCTATAATAGTTATAACTCAAACTAGGGATGATGGTTCATCATTCTTGATAACAAAATCAGTGCTACTTATTTTATACAAAAACTGCACGCACAAAAATATAGTAACAATTAGATGAACTTCAATTTAATTCTCCAAATATTAGAATCTTTATGAAATTGAACGACCAACATAGACCAACATGAAATAAGAATAATAGATATTTGATCTCCTTAATCGTAAACATGAATATTCCCATCACCAAATACCTGAACAACTAAATAATAACAGATACTTCAATTGTAAAATAAAACATTATAACAACTATGATTGTTGTTTATACTGCTTTGCATTTATGTTTTTGACGTAGTGTCAAAACAATAATGATAAATGTGTTATGGAGGTGATGTTCTGTTGACTGGGTCGCTAACATTTTCATGGCTTAAATAATGCCAGTGTAAACCATGACTTCTAGTACAAACAGACATCAGTTGATCTATTATTCATAATATGCCCATTATTTGGGGGCAATAGCTAAAAGTCTATGACCAATTAGGAAGTTGTTAATACAAAATAACCTACAAACCCTTTGTGAGAACTTATCATTAAATGACGGCGCATCAAAACAAGTCTGAAGCTGCTTATCTTCTCTAGGTTAATTATGTAGAACAAAGGCCTCACGTACATATTTCCTACAACAAAGCAATTGATATTGTTCCACTATTGTAATAAACAAGCTAAAGAAACATTGTTACGAATATTGATCTAACATAAAATTCATGAATCATTAATCTACCCATTTGGCCCTTTGTGGTGACATAATGTGGGCAATACGAGGCTAAATTTTTGTACAAGTTAAGCCAACAATAGTCTCCTACTATTTTTGGTGTAAATTCAAGTGAGCTGGCTCAGTTTCACCAAGGAAATACGATTAAATAAACAAACCACAGGAAAACAACTTGTTAACATGGAACTAAAATATAGAACTCATGACATTTCTTCATGAAGAAAGACAAGCGTCTGAAAATAAATTGTGGATTTGCTAAATCAGAAACAAAGGCATGATTGGTACTTGCAATATGTAAATATTTTTCACCTCACTTAATGATATCTTTGTTTCAGCAAAAGTAAAAGCACATACTAAAACAAAATATCCTTGTCTCAACATTTAATAAAGGGCCATGTTAGAATGTAAATAAAATATGTAAACACCTATAATTCACAGAAGGTTTCACAACACAATTTCCACACATACAAAACACATCTCGTAAGGATTGAAGTGATAAGCACGAAGCTAAAATTTGCTCCATCATTCTGCAAGCATTTTACAATCATATGTAAATTTCCAGGCATCAGAACAGGCCTACGAACAAAATTTAATATCTAAATTTTTAAAAAAAGTGTGAAAGTAATTATGTAACATCTTTACAAACTTCATATAGGTAGCTCATCATGTGCAAAGTTCAAAATTTTAAAATAGTGAAATTTTTGCCTAAACATAACCATCACAAAAAGTCATTATTAACACTCCTCACTTTTCGGTAGGAAGATAAAAACACCAAAAACATGAGAAAATACAATAGACAGGTGTGTAACCAACCTTTAATTTAGGCTCATGGACAGTCAAATAAGCATTTTCATGTACTGTTACAATATCTTCTTCTTTTCTAGAAATCTCCTTCTTGTTAAGAGGTCTTTTGCGAACCTGCAAAGCATAGTCAAAGAAGAGAAAGCATCTCAGTATTCAACGCACAACTTTTAACTCTCCAATTTCACAAAATAAATAAATAATAAAAAACATGTTTGGAGACTACCAGAGAAACACTTCTTGGATTAGGAGAAAACAACTCCCTATTTCCATGATAAGGGCCCCAAGTTGGTTATGAATGAGAAATCCAGCATATATTTATTCTCATCCAATACAACCCAATTTCACTAAAGGTGGTAATAGATTTTAGTACCAATCTGATATATGCACGCATATCAGTTTCCAAATACTAAGAAGATACTATCAATATCTCACCCATACTCATTTAACCTTTAAAAATAAATAGGTTCTATCCATGAGAGATGATTAGGATAAATTATGAGATTGATCTTATGTATTTGCAAAGTGACAAAAGGATATTAATTCTTGGGCTCCTACCAGCCATGAAATTAAGCATGAAACAAAGTACATCTAGCAGACTATCATTTTAGTCGGAAAGAAGGATTAAAAAAAAAAAAAGAAAAAAAAGCTACAAGGTTAGGCATTCTTCTGACGCATTCTTTCTCTTATTATTGCATATGAACTTCTAGCAACTTCTTTTATACCCTTGCATAATGTTAGGCATACTCTTCACGCATTCTTCTTATTATAGCATATATACCTCTAGGAACCCCTAGGCATAAAATAAAGGAACCCAAGATTTGGACAGCCCGCAGAAACCGTTAGACAAAGTTGACATAACTATGTCAGAAAAACTAAAAGACACAACTCTTAAAATGCACTAAACATTGATTCTTATCTCTATCTTGAATAATGGCATATTATCTAATTTAACTCTATGCACTAAAAAACAAGTTCTGCGTGCATCATTAAGGCATTAACATTGATTCTTAATCTCTATCTTGAATAATAGCATATGTCTACTAAAAAATGGTCAGCACGAATATCGAGGCAATCCGCAATCTGCCTTTGCCGAATTGGCTATCCTTGGCCTACTTTTCCTCCAAACGGAGGACTCCGATGGAAGACTTTCCCCTCCGAATGGGAATGCCGACAGAGGACATTTCACTCCAAACGACCACAAATGCAAAATACTAAAATATCATGTACTACATTTTTTAAGCAAGGGTAATATTGTAATCTACTTGGTGGCCCTCCTATTATCCATAAATAGAAGGGTCTTCTCATGTAAATGGGTTTTTGGCTCCCCCCACTTGTGACCTCTATTTCTGAAATAAAATAGGTCCAGGAGCCCAGGAACCCAATTCGCCCCGAGGGGGTAAGTCTTCCTCTTCTTCTTCTTCTTCTTCTTCTTCTCTCTCTCTCTCTCTCTCTCTCTCTCTCTCTCTCTCTCTCTCTCTCTTTCCCCTTTTCTGGATCCCACGATCTATTAATTGTGCACGGTCTATAGTACATATTTGTAATCAACATCCTAAAAGATGTGGTAAACGCAGATCATGCCGTCAACAAGAAAATGAGCGACACCAAGAAAAAATATTCCCAACAGTGAATACAATGAGTATTTGAGGGCGGCTCATACTAATGTCGAGAGAGAAGATGCTATCCTTACAAATTGTAAATGGAATGCTTTGGTGTTTGGGTCTTCTCGAGGATTTTTCTTAAGAATGTGCAAGAGGTTTCTGATGGATTCTTCAGAATAGTTGAGGTTAAAGACGAGGAGCACTGGTTGTGAGCTGAAGTTGATTCCGACGAAAAAATTCTATATGATTTATAGAAAATAACTAAGACGGCGGTAGTTATTACTTTGTGCACCAAACACCTGATCCAATCGATCGTCTAATCTCACCAGCCGATCGTGAAGTCTCTCGCCGATCCCCAAGAGTCAGACGTGGTCACTGATCCTCCGACCACCCAGTGTTTTTCACCAATTTTCCTCTGCGTCGCCCGACTATTAAAAATGGTCAATCAATCGCAAAACAACTCCTCACCGTCCTGTCACCTCAAATGACCGATTGGCCGCCTCACTTCGTCCGGCCACTCGCCTCCGGCCAGCCATTTCATATCAAAGAAGATTTACATACATACCACTCAATCCTTACATATTTATGTATCAATCACCTAAACTTTAATTTATACATATATATATATATATATATATATATCACCTAACGTATACTGAATTTCCCATTATATATATATATCACACTTTGGTTTTGCAAATAAATTTGCATGAAATTGCCAAATGAAATTTTTCTAAAAAATTATCGCTTTTGATGCGTATAAATTTAACTATTTTCACGCATGTCTTCAGCCCCGCATAGCATGCTATTTTTCTGGGGCATATATGTTATTTCTTCAAAGCTTACTTTATAATACATACACTTAATAATATTTTTGTATCTCTATGTAAAAAGTCCAAAATCGAGACTTGGTGATATCAAAGAGTCCATGCATACAGTGACCACAACGCAAAGAGTGTATGATCGGTCAGAAGCATAAGAAACAACCGACAACGACGCCAAGTACGACAGATCAGTCAAAAGTATAAGAAAGAGCCGACAACAATGTCATAGATGTTTGATTGGCAATAAGGGCTTAGAGACAATTAGCCACCAGGCAGCGACAAACATCGCGAGTGCAAAACATTAAGACTCCCCTTTGGGGCGAGCAGCTCTAAGATTCCTCTTCGGAACGAGCAGCTCTAAGGCTTCCTTCCGGGACGAGCAGGCGAGCAACTCTAAGACTTCCTCTGGGGCGAGCAGCTCTAAGGCTCCCCTCTGGGACAAGAAGCTCTAATAACCCCTCCGGGTTGAGCCACTCTAAGACTCCCCTTCGGGGCGAGCAGCTCTAAGACCCCCTCCAGGGCGAGCAACTCTAAGTCCCCAATCCGGAGCGAGCGGCTTTAAGTCCCCCATCCGGGGCGAGCGGCTCTAAGTCCCCCATCCGGGGCGAGCGATTCTAAGGGTCTGTTTTGGGGCAGCTGCAACTTATTGAATAATTTGCTGATAAGCTATGTGCAGTGACTATTACAAATTTTTATTTTTTTTGAAAAAGTCAAACCGCTGCCACCGCACCTAAATAGGTGCGGTGTGAAAACGCTATTTTCAGTGTTTTCAAAACGCATAAGCTGTCAAAAAGCAGTTTACCCAAACAGGTCAGGTGTGTTTTCACCGCACCAAATAAACTGCCCCAACCGTGGCCTAAGACATCCTTCTGGGCTAAGCAATATTAAGACTTCCGGTAGCCGACTTTTTCTCCGACGACTGGTTATTCTCCTGACGATTGATTTTCCCTCCAAATGGCCACTAGAACCTAACGACTCCCCCAACAGAAAAAACTTGAGAAGGACGAATCCAGCAGCAGATAACAATAAAGATGCTAGAACTGAGCGCGAAAAGCACCAAGCATGGAGTATCATTAGCAAATTATGTTTTTAAAATTTTTTTGGTCTATAAATTTTATTGTCCTTATTGCAACTATCACTATCAAGAAGCAAGAAAATTGAGGAACATAACATGCATATTCAAAAATGATCTGCACGAATCTCAAGGCAATCTGCAGTTTGCCTCCACCGATTGGCTATCTCAGCCGACCTTTCCCTTCGAACGAAGAACTCCGACGAAGAACTTTTCCCTCAGAACGGAGGATGCCAACGGAGGAATTTTCCCTCCGAACAACACTAATGCAAAAAGCGAAAATATCATATATAATCTTTTTTATGCAAGGGTAATATTATAATCTAATTTTTAGTCGTTCTATCATCTATAAATTCGAGTCTTCTCATGTAAAAGGGGCTTTTGGCTCCCCTCAACTTGTAACCTCTATTTATCTAAAATAAAAAGGGTCAAGGAGTTTGGGAACACCCCGATTCGCCCTCGAGGGGGTAAGTCTTCCTCTTATTCTCTCTCTCTCTCTCTCTCTCTCTCACACACACACACATGTTCCTCTTTTATTGGACTCACGCTCTATTCCTTAGGCACGGTCTACCAGATAGATTTGGATTCAAAGGTATATTTAATAATCAAACTCTATCCAATAAACTACAAGTTATGTCCACATAAATAAGGTATATCTTGTCTGTGTTTTTCAATACTTCTATTTAAGAATGAGAATTTAAATTCCACACAACCCCGCTAGAATAAAGGAGGCTGATCAGAGCACCAAGGCATTCAGAAGGCGAGTCCAACTAACAGTGAAGTGGTTGACAGGCAAATAAAACAACAAACTTTGTGAGTTAGATATGTACAGACAAAGGAATGGACAGTATGCACATAAAAACCCCCTTAAAAAAATACTTGTATATTTATAAACAAAAATCAAATGGTATGCATGCGAATCTTTCTTGCCTTGGGGTGGTCGTTCGGAGGGTTGAGGTCGGTTGGAGGTAGATGGCTGGCTGTAGATCGGCTTCTGGTCGAATGGTGTCCCCTGTTTTAACAGTAATTGTCAGGCAATTGTTGTTCTTTGAAGCGGTCGATCGGGAGCAGTAGTAGGTCAAAGGTAGTTGGTCGGTCGGCGGTAGAAATGAGAAAATGATCTGAGTGCTTTAGTTGATGAGAAATCTATTGTTCTTAACCAAACAAAATGATACTCCTTTTTGCAGATATGATCGCAATTAGAAACTCTATATTTTACTGGAAATTTGAGCTGCAATAGGATGGAATTCAGCCCTCCTTCGAAGCAACATTCATAGCCAACGACAATTCCTTCAAAATTCACAAGCTTGAAACTTTCTCTGTCATCATCCAGAAATATCTCCATCTTTTTCCTCTTAAGCATGAAATTTATGGCAATCGCCTCCCACAATTCAAAGACCTCCATTTGGTCCGCATGCCCAAGATTCTGGTATGGAGAATTTCTCCACTGATGTAGTTGCTTGCGTTAACAGCCTTGGGAAGGATGTCTTCCGGCAAGGGGAAGGCAGCGAGATTGGAGCGCTAGAATCCGGGAAAACGGCCCTTGGAGGACAAGAGACAGATGTTCTCAGTGGTCGTTGTAGACAGTATTTGATGCGACCAAAGAAAAGAGAGCCAGTT